AACGTCGCGATCTTCGTAACCGATCGATCTTCGTAATCGATCGTGATCGATCGCGTGTCCGGGTCAGCGCGACAAGCCAGATTACAGCGGAAAGTCGAGAAGCTCTCTCGGACCTTCTGCCCTTTCTCCCCCAGTGTTCCCGTAATCCTATTGAAAACTGTCGTCGCAGGACGAAACGGCGCAGGTCGGCCGACATTGTTCGGGGCCCGTCCAACAAGTCGAAATATTTTCACAGCCACGCGCGACTGTCGTCAAACTTTCGGATTAACGTCGAAAGAGTCAAAAAGCCGCAGTTTCGCTGTGGTTCGGCGTGTCTTCGCCGTGTCGACGTTCGTCCTCGTCCGGGGCGACGGGCACCCGAAACGATCGGTTTCGACGACGCAACGCGGGAAACGAGAGGTCCGTTTCGATCGGATTTGCCGCGACACTCGAGCCCTCCGAACCGCCGCCGCCGCGCCGTCGAAATCCGAGCAGGATTTCGCGCCGCGGTCGCTTGCTCGATCGTCTCCGGCTTGTTCTCGCGTGCACGACCTACCGCGCGTCGCTAATCGCGTCAAGAGATACCGGCCGAGAAAAATCGAGCCTGGTGGACGCCGAACGGCGTCGGAGATTCGAGGATTTGGTCCGCTGTCCATAACCAGTTTCCGCGCGTCGCACGGATTTCGTGGCTCTCGCGGCGCGAGCGAGCGAATTCGGAGAGGAAAATAACATATGAGCCAGACAGAGAGAGAGAGAGAGAGAGAGAGAGAGAGAGAGAGAGAGCATATGAGCCAGAAAGTGAAAAAGAGACAGCATATGAGCCAGAGAGAGGGAGAGAAAGAGAGATCATTTGAGCTAGGGTGTGAGAGAGAGGGGGGGGGGAGATAGAAAAAGAGTATACATCAGAGAAAGAGAGAAAGAGACCATATGAGCCAGAGAGAGAGAGAGAGAGAGAGAGAAGGAGAGCATATGAGCCTGAGAGAGAAAGTAAGAGACCCATATGAGCTAGGGAGAGGGAGAAAATGAGAATATGAGTCAGAGAAAGAAAGGTAGAGAGTATATGAGTCAGAGAGAGAGAGAGAGAGAGAGAGAGAGAGCACAAAAATCAGTGATAGAGAGAGAGAGAGTATATGAGCCAGAGAAACAAAGTATAGCGGCCAGTGAAAGAAAGAGAGAGAGAGAGGGAAAGAGCTAGTGAGAAAGAGAGGGAGTGTTGGGGGAGGGAGAGAGAGAGGTCTCCGTTCCTCGATGGCGCATTCATCGAGCCGCGTACGTATCCCCGGCACGGTCGTTGGTAACGCGTTGGCAAATTAATTCAATCAATTAATAGGCGCTTAAGCGGACGAGCGGTATGGCGCGGCGCGGCGCGGCGCAGCTCGCCTTCGCTCGCCTATGCTCGCATCGACGAATAAGCGGGCCTCGGTGGCACCGCCGATATCGAAGCCACCCACGCGAAACGATGCCCTGTGGTTCGCACCTACGCGCACTCGTGCATCCACGCGTATCTACGCCGCCGCCGCCGCCGCCGCTCTGTTTCCAGAGCCAATCGATACCGGTGCCATCCTTCGCCACCGCCATTTTATTTCGCGGCAAGCCCTTTTTCCAGCCTCCTCTCTTCGGTCTCCTCGTTTTTCCCGCTTTCCTAACAACCTCTTTGCAAATCTCACAAACGAATCGGCAAATCCGTTGGGAATTCTATCGTCTAGAGGCATGAGCGACTGATAAAAAAGATAAAAAGCTTTTACTTTTTTTGTCATTTCAAATACGAGCGAAATTAAGAAAATGCATTTCAGTCATTGTCTCGTGGATTACTCCCGCTATCATCTAAAAAAAACAAAATCGAGCCATTTAGTTCAGTTTTAAAGAAGTTTTTGCTTTTCAAAAGGTATTCGAATACTTTCGTGAGCTACCGTAAATCGCGGCTTCGTCAATGCGAGTCAGACCTCGGTAAAAAATATTTCAAATAGTAGTAGAAATACTTAATGAAATATTCTTGTTTGTGTGAAATAACATTTCAAGATTTACTCGACGTTGTAGAGATAGGTATATGTATCGAAGATCGATGTTTATGTTGTGGTAAACAAATTTTTCAATTGGAGTAGTATTTTCTTAAAATGTACTTGAAATAATTAACTGAAATGGTATTTTCTTCGAAGGTACCGCAAATAATTATTTGAAATATTGTTTCACGAGTCTAAATTTCTGTCTAATTTTCTTGAAATTCTGTTTCTTTTGCAATCGATACTTATGAGAGAAAATAAAGCTGTGGGAAAAGTACAGGAACAACTGTTTTTAAAATTAAGTTTTTTTCTTGTGTATTTCTCTTTATTAATAATGTACATAATTGGAATGCGTAACATCTGTTTAATTTTTACAATGTACATATCTGAAATAAAACTCTCCGTCCGTTCAGAGATATTATTATTTATTATTATTAGTACGAGTAGTATTGTCATTACTATTGATTTATTATTCTCATCAATTATGTTTTGTTCTCCTCATTTACCGTCATTTTATTTATATTCATTAACATTATTATTTTCACCGTTCCATTTCTTCTCTTTTTCTTTCTTTCTATTGATCCCAAATCTTCTTAAACTTTTTGAAACAAAGGAGCTTTACCCGATTATATATCAATAACTATTATTATAATTATTATTATAATTATTATTATAATTATTATTACAATTATTATTACAATCATTATCGTATCATTAGCATCATCGTGCTCGTAATTTCACATCGTTGCAACAATATTCCATCGCGTCATCGTCGCCACGTGTGCAAATTCATTGGAACTAATCCTTCGCCCGCAAACAATATCCAACCGTAGCGGAATCGACAGGCGGCTCTCCTGTAGGTCCGGATCGTTCGCCAGTCACCATGGAAAATGAGTCTCGCGTTGATCGAAGGAACGAGCAGAAAGACACACCCGGTGGAAAAGCGAACGAGCTAGTCGACGGCGAACAGCGACGCGGAGGGGGAGGGGAGCCGTGTACCACGACAGGCAGCGCAATCTAAACGAGCGATCGGGATCGGGATCGGGATCGAGATCCGATAATCGAGTTGTTGGCACCTGTGGCAGCGGACATAATTAATGTCGGCTAGGTGCTACCGGCTCTGCCCCTCTCCCCGTGCTCGGGGTCTGCTCGTTAATTCCCGGCGGGACATTACCGAGCAAATTAGGCAAGCCAGGTATCCTTCTCCCGCTCATTTCCGCGCCACTGCCGGCGGAGCGAGCCCTCTTCCACCTCTACGGGCACCGCGGCCCCTTGTCTCGCTCTCGCACCCGCTAGTTTTTCGGGCTACCAAGGGGAACGCGAATACGGTGAATAAAGCGGCCGCGAGTCGACGGGCAGAAAGTGGGCGTATCACCCTCGGCTTTTCGGGGACCCGGAGAACGGAGGAAACGGCGCGGGACGCGACGAGGTGGGACGAGGCGAGAAGAGAGGAGCGAACAAGAGAAAAAGGAGAAAAGAACGTGAGAAAATAAGAGGAGGAAATGAGAAGAGAAGAGAAATAAAGAAATTTAGAAGATAAGAGGAAAAATGAGAAGAGAAGAGAAGGAAATGAGAAAGGAGGAGAAGAAAAGAAAACGAGAAAGGAATAGAAGAGAAGAAAATGAGAAAATAGGGGAAGAAAATGAGAAGAGAAGAGTAAAAATTAGAACAGACTAGAAAAGAAGAAAATGAGAAGAAAGGAGAAAGAAAGAAATTTAGAAAATAAGAGAAGAAGATGAGAAAAGAAGAGAAGAAAATGAGAAGAGGGAGGAAAAGATGAGAAGAAAAGAGAAGAGAACGAAAGAAATTTAGAAGAGAAGAGAAAAAAAGAAAGAAATTTAGAAGAGAAGAGAAAAAAAATGTAGAACATAAGAGAAGAAAATGGGGAGAGAAGCGAAAAAAATGAGAAGATGAGAGAATAAAATGGGAAGAGAAGAAAAGACGAGACGAGACCGGAAGAGGTGAAACGAGAAGAGGTGAGAGACAAGAACGGTCTCCAAGGGATCGCGATCGGCGATTTCTCGTACGCGACGAACTCGCCTGTCTCGGCTGTAAAAATCGGTAAGACTTCGTTGGCGTCTCACACAGTAATACATTTTCCGAAAAGGTTGCCTACCCCTCCCAATTTCCTCAGTATATTGCAACAAAAAGCTGTTGGCTATATATATATATATATTGTACACTTGTCAGCAGCAATAACCGTTTGAAATTTTAGTATAACAACATAAACGACAATAGCTAATTGCAAATATGTACATCCAAATGACAGAGAGAAAGCTGAAATTTCCCTTAAATTCGATGCAGCTAAATAAACATCGATTCAGATTTCCGAAGCTCGATAAAGAAACGACAACTGGAACCAATGTCACAACTGTGACTCGATCCCCAGTTTATACTTACGGCTCGCCTAATCGGACCGACTATACCCTAGAATCTCACTCCGCGTTTCCCTCGAAGCAAAACTCGGACGATCCATCTTCCGTTCAACCGTATGCAATGTCCTAGGCGGTGTTAGACCTAAGAGTACGTGGTAGATTTCGACGGTCCAGAGAAACCATCGCGTCCAAGCCGACGAAAAGATCGTCGACCGTCGGTCGTGTGTTCGCGCGCAACCGGCTCCGAGCGAGCCGGCCTCTGAACGAGGACGAGGCTCGGCACGGCCAGGCTAATGACTTGGTAATGCCTTTTTTATTCGCCTCGAAACGCTGCCATCTTCCCCCGAGAATGCTGGCTCGCGCGCGCGCGCGAGCTATCGCGTTCCGTTTCCTTACCTGGCTCCGCGGCGCGACGCGGCGCGCACCGGAATCATAGTTTCGCGGTCAGTCCCGACCAGGGTGTTACAGCTGCTCGAGACTTCATCCCCTAATCGCGCGGTCGGCTGGCGGATCGCTCGAGGATCGCGCGACGACACGCTGTTAAACGCGTAGTCCTGTTCTCGGTAAACCGAACGCGGTCGCTGGAGGAGAAACCCGGCGAAGGAGATTGCGGGAACGGTGGGTGTCGGGCTATACGAACCAGCGATTAGGCTCGGTACAAGAGTTTATTAGGGTTTATTTACACGGGAACAGCTTGCACAGCAATAGGTACGAGTCTTCGCAACACAAGCATCAACGATATAACGCTCTAGTCTAAGGCTAACCGCCTCGCGGCGATGACAATCGTCGATCAAGCTACCGCGAGATATCGCGGCCCGCGGCTGCCGCTCCGGGAACGGACCGTCCGAATTCTCTTCGCCATCGTTCTCTCTTATTTCCTGCGTGGCCCGTTTCCCGAGCGGCTCCGCGTCCCGTGTCCTCCCGCGTCCAGTACGGATTCGAAACATAAATAACGATAACGATAACGGTAAGTCATGATAAGGAAATATACAACTTATGTTACACGAACGATGTCGACGATACTACCTAAGACCTGTAAATCCACAGCTATATATATACCTATATACACATACATCAGAAATCGCCGTGCATCCCGAGGATCATCGAGCTTCGCTCGAGAATGCAGGCACACGCGTTCTTCGGATTCGCGCTGCCCCCCGAAAGCGATCGCTTTCGTTCTCGTTCCCTTCGGTCCGTGACGGTGGAATACCAGACGAAGAGAAATTGTCGGCCGGCTTCTCTCCGTGGTCTCGAAGGTGGTGGTGGATCGGTTCCGGGCACGGACGATAAGGAGAAGGCGAGGGCGAAAGTGGAGGAGGCGCGGAACAACGCCGACAAATGGTCCCCAGGTTTTCGAGCCGATCGACGCACAACGGTCTGCGAATTCGCTTTCTTCGACCGAAATCGTTTCACCGTTCTTTCAAGGTTCAAGGTTGCAGTGTTAGCCGATCGTTGAATTCGTCGCGAACACCAGCTAGAATATTATCGAGTCGAAGATTTGCATTAACCGTTTGCAGTCGGCTCATTTGAACTCGTCGTCGAAAATAGCTTTTTTTCATTTTACAGAATCTAGAGAGTTTTATGTATTGCACATATGTGAAATTGAATTTTGTGTTGTAATTTCGACAGTGTTTTTAAATGATTTTGAGACTCGTTTTCATGTGACAATATCGAAATTTGTAAAATTGCTTCGATATAAGCACCTTTGATAGCGCCTTGGAATCGCCATTCCGACTGCAAATGGTTAACATTTTTTAAAAATCAAGATGACCAGCGTGTTTTATGAAAAGAAATTCGTGTTTGCAGGTTTTTCTATTCCAACTTATAGAAAAGTGACCCGACTTCAATTTGTAGAATACTGACCAACTCTTCTTGGAAACGTTTTTCTTTTTTGCCGGATCATGGGCAATGTCTGAAAAATCGTGGTTCGTTTTAAAATTGGATACGAGCGTTCAGTGTCGAGCGCGCATGCCGCTCTACTCGACTGCTTACCCAGGCGTCGAAATACAGTCGGCATCTGTTTGTTGAAATTATTGTAGACGCAAAGGTTGCCGGAGTTTGCACATAAAATTAATTTGCTCGTCTCGGCGTCATTGTTTAAGCCTACGTATAAAAAAACATCTCGTACTAACGAACACTCGACAGTATTATTATAATACTCCTCGAGATTTGAATTATTGTTTCGACGCTGTTGTTTATACATGGATCGAGAACTGATCGAAACTAGATTCGATATTTCAAATTCGATATGCAATATACCGGGTGTTCCACGGTAGGTGTGACCCACTTGAGGAAAAGATTCCACGCATGAAAATAAGTTTGTATAAACATATGGTCTCGCTTTGACATTGTTTTCGAGTTACGACGAGTTTCTTCTTTAACACGCCGTATTTACACATCTTCGCAACGAATGTTCGAAAGCGGCTCCACGAATTTGAACACAAGCCTGCAGGTGTTTTTTCGACAGGATGGACAGAAATGAAAAGGATAGGACAGTCGATGATGAAACGTTTCCAGGATGTGTTCAAATGCGAGGAGTTCGTTTCGACCATTTGTTGCAAAGGCGAACAAATACGGTGCGATAAAACAGGTACTCGCCGTAAGTGGAAAACAAGGTCGAATAGGAACACGAACTTTTTCTTATCGATTCCAAATCTAGAATCTATTCCTGAAGTAGGTTCCAGGTACAACGAGACACTCTGTACACAAAACCGTCGTCGAAAACCCTTCGCACTCGAAGCTGTTCCAATTTCGAAATTAAGATATCTCTTCCAACGTGTAGCGCATTTTGATTTTCTATTAATTTTGTATCGCGGCATATGAAATTGAGCTTATTTGCTCTTAGTTACCTACATTTTTAACAGCTCCAAAAAAAAGAAAAACAATATTCAGTGGCGCCTCCGAGTCGTCGTTCGAGCGCAAAGAGTCGATTCCACTTTGAATTGTACGATTTCGTGTTTCGAGCGCCGCGTATCGCGACACAGAATCGTCATCGTTCAAGAGACAAACCTTTTCAATACGTCGAACCTAAAGCCTTGAGTTTTGGCCATGGGAGGCTTGTTGGCGAGACCGGTGTGCGACGGTCGAGGATCGAGCGCGAGAACAGACGGCGACGACTACGAGGGCGACAGGTCCTGCGCGTCTCTGCCGAGGCTGTCGGTCGGCGAGGGGGTGGTCCTTCTCGCGGGCGACATGGAGGAGCCTTGCGGCGTCGAGGACTTCGGGGCGACGGGAGTCGTGTGATAAGGGGAGAATCTGTGGTGCGCCAGGGCGAGCGCGGAAGGGTAGAGCGGTCGCGGCGCGGCCGGACTTTGGCCGGGGTTCTGGGTGCTCGAGCCCGCCAGCTGCTGCTGTTGCTGTTGCTGCTGTTGCTGTTGCTGGTGAGCCGCCGCGAACAGGGTCGGCCCTATCGACGAGGCCCACCACAGGTGTCCCAGTTGCTGCTGCTGCTGTTGTTGCTGCTGCTGGTGCTGCTGCTGGTGGCTGGTCCCCGCGGGCGACGCTCCCGGATAAACCAACGCCGGGCCGACGAGCTGCGCGTACGGGCTGACGGCGACGGCCGCCGCGGCTCGCAGCAGCATCTGCGACCTGGCCGCCCACAACGCCTTCTCCTCCAGGCTGAGATTGTTCACCGCGCCCGCCTGCAACTGATCCATCTCGAACGGAAGTCGATGGGGAAACCTCAGCGACTGCTGTTCCGCCAGCATCGACTCCATCGTCTCCCTGAAAGGGAAGCTGCTCGATTATGCATTTTTTCCGCCGCTCTGGCCCGCCACACGCGTCGCGACCGTTCTCGCGCGCCGACTACTCCCAAGATTTACCTCTCGAAATCGGTGAGCCTCGACGAGTCCCGGAAACCCTTCGCGAACGGGTTGCTGTCGATCTTGAGCTTGGTGATCTGCAACAGAAAGAGAAACAGGCTCGATTCGTTGGCGAATCGTCTATTCGATCTCGTTTATCGGCGAGGCGAGGCCGATGGGCAGGGTTGGGTGTCGGGCGGGGTGGGACGGGACGACGCCGCGCGACGCGACATTACGTCACCGGAACGGTAACGACGCCTGTCGGGAAACGACCGGCCGTTTCGAAACGGTTCGTTCCATCGATCGGGAGTCAACGGCTCGTAAAATTAGAAGAAGGCGGGAAAACGATTCGTCCTCTGTCCGGGGTTCGGCGGGGGTGCCCGAGGGAGAAGCGGCTGCCCGACGGATATGGAAGGGCGATACACCTCGTTTACGAGCCATCGGAATCGCTTGTTCCGATCGCGAGCTCTCGAAACCGACGCTGGCCCGACGGAGCCCCGCGGAAATCCAGCCTAAGTCGGTCGTTTCGCGTTACCCGCCGGGGCCCACCCACGACGGCCGGGCGACGGGAAGCGACGGGACGCGACGAGACACGACGGATGCACAGGTGGCCCCGATCAGACCGGCGCCCCCAATTAGCAGTCGAATGTCAAGGTCCCCCGGGCCGCTTCCGCGAAGGATCCTCTCCGGGGATTGCGTCGCACCTTTCCTTTTTCAGGCGAGCGGACGGAGCTTCCGGATTCCGGACTGGGGGGAATTTGCTGGTCCAGCTCGCGAAACCTTCGCGTCGCCATGTCCGATGTTTTCCGGAAGATCGGCCGTCGCAGGCCGCGAGCCAGAAGTTTATTTGCTCGGTAAAAGGAGCCGCTCTGCGCTCCTCCGGAAAGCCGGAATGGAGAGGTCAGAGAAGAGGGAGTTAGGGGAGGGGGGATGCGGAGAGAGAGAGAGAGAGAGAGAGAGAAAGAGGGACGACAGAGTCGGTGTCAAGTGGGTGGTCCAATTACCCTACGGTTTCGCGCTCACGAGCAGCACGTGCAGCCTGGTAATAAGACTCTTTCCTTCAAAGCCGAGGCTAAGCCGCGCTAAGCCTGGAGCTGCCTCGGTTTTAGTTACGATTCCGCTGACATCATTAGCCAAACATCTGGCCCACCTCCGCCGTCAGCTATGTCCTCGTCCTCCTCGTCCGTCGCGTCCTTCCCGTCGTCTAGCTACTTCCACGACGATCCGTCCCGTTCCGTTCCATTCCGTTCTGTTCCGTTCCGTTCCATTCGGTTCGGTTCCGCGACGACCACCGGAGCGACGAGAGGCGCGAGGCGCTACTATTTCCCTCCACCCTACTCCCTTCGCCGTCTTCCGGCTTGACTGCTCGTTCCTCTCTCGCTCTCCCTCCCCTCCACCACCCGCGTTCTCCTCTCGGCCACCACTCTCCTCCTCCTCCTCCTCCTCCTCCTCCTCCTCCTCTCTGTTCCGCGTCTCGACCGCCTCGTTCGGCCGGTTCGCTTGCTCGTTTTACGATGGCTCCCCGCTACCGAGCGAGCGGTAATATCGCAGCCGAGCGCGTCGCGCCGCGTCTTTGAAATCGACCCGCGGTCGCAACTCCGGCCGCGAAGCTTGCCTCTTTGATATCGTGCAGCTCGTTTTGCCCCGGGGCGACGCGGCTGCACGGTTCGTCTTCTCTCGTCGCTTTTCTCGCCACTGTGTCCCGGCCGCGTTACGTATCAATCGTCGAGAGCCGAGCGACGAGCGTCGATTAATTTAGGGCCCGCGACGCGTCGATGCGCCTCGGTTCGCGCCACCTAGCACCTCCGCGACGAGGAGACGAGGTCTCGAGCGACGGGTCCTCCCTCGCGGATCGGCGGAAAAACCGCTCGGGAAAATCGGGATTCGTCGAGGCTGTCGCGGTGGTCCCTCTCTCTCTCTCTCTCTCTCTCTCTCTCTCAACCAGCCGCGAAGAAGTTATACGATTTCGTTGACACGGCTCGACCAAACGGTTGGACCACTTCCCAGACCGATTTACAGCGTCCGCGGCGAACGCGCAGGGTGTTGCTCGCCGTGATAAATTTGCTCGCGGGCTGTGCGCGGCTCTCTTCCTCTCGGTCGATGCCAAACCATCGTCGGCAACGAATAAATCGTTCCAGCCACTGACCGCGCGAGCGGCCAGATATTTTACTCTGTATATCCTACGGGCCGGGATACCGAGCCGAGCCGTCGACAAAAAAAATGTCCGAGATTTTTGTCGTGCCTCCGCGACGGAGTTCGTTACCCTCCGCAGCGTCGCGACTCCCGGAACAATCGCTGCCGATCGCGAACCGAGCGGACCGAGCTCGCGAAACCGCCGCGCGATACCGGAGGCCTTTTCGGCTACGGGCTCTACCACCGCTATGCAAAGAAGCTCGCGTTCGTACAAGACGCAAACTAATCTGCGAACGAACGGGCGATACGCTGCGATCGCGGGACAGGTATTTAACCATTTCCGACCGCGGATCGACGATGAAAGTTGGCGAAGTTAGACATCTATTTTATCGACGTGCACATGGAATCGCGGTATCTCGTGTCACGTTTTGTATTCGATTCGTGGACGGTGGAATTTTTCACGATCGTACAATTGACGATGTTTAGGACGGTTCTCAGTTTCACCGAACATATTTTTGTGGATACATCATGTACAGTAGGGGTGTCAAACTCGCGGCCCGAGATGAACATTTTTGCGGCCCAGTCAATATATCCGACGCAAAGTAAAAATAAAATAGAAATAGTCTCGGCCAATAAAATTTCTCCCGAAATAGGAAAGATGGTATCAGAGAAGAGATGTCAAGTATCAGGACGTGAACAATAATTTAACTTTATATATGTGTTTATTACAATGTACTAGTCAAAATAAAAATATTTGTTTCTATGAACATTGATTTTTTTTTGCGGCCCACCTAAAGTTAAGCGTTGTTTATTTGGCCCAAGTTAGCTTTTGAGTTTGACACCCCTGATGTAGAGTAATCAGTGTTTCTATGGTTCCTAGTGTAACGTCCCTTGATTTGATTCAATTGCTGAAAATTGATTAATTAGGCGACGATTTAAGTGCACTGGGTCAAAACGACCCGGTAATCGCGGGTCAAGGATCAATATGCATTTCTCTTCGAAATGATCGACAGTGTTATCGAATGTTCTTCGATCTATCGATCTCCGTACGAACGTTTTAGTATCACACCAGCGTAAGTCCCAATCTAAAGATGTCAGAATGTTAACCCTTTGCACTCGAAGCCGAATTAACGCAAACTTCCGAACAATTTTTCCGACCCACGTTTTATCCATTTTATATGACCTAGTGCATTTTATGCGCTTTTACGCACTTTTATGCACTATTATGAAATCGAATATTGTGACACAAATTATTTTGAGACGTGACATAACAATTTCTATTTGCGCCTCGTAGTCGCCACTCGAGCGCAAAGGGTTGAGAAGACCAGCGAAATCAGTTATGAAGCGACTACATAAATTAACCGTACTCCAAACGATTTAATAATAAACCTGGTCGGTAAACGATACACGAATTAGTAAACAATAACACTCATTGTTTCCCGCAGTGTGCGAAATGTGACTCACGCCACTGTCATTCTCTCACCCACTCGTATATTGTTAACCGAAGGGTTTTTTCTTCTCGCTTATAAATAATAAATCATGTAGAATGTACGTAAAACGTTTGTTACAGTTAGCCTAAAGGCACACCTCGCGTGAGTCAGAGTCGTGTTGTTGCAACGCCACGGTTTCAGAACTTTCGCGTAAATACAGACAGATTCTGTTGAAATAATCAGCTATCCGAGAATTCATTTGACACTAGATTTACGATGCAGTAAAAGCAGCCGTTTTCTATTAGTTTATCAGAGTAACAATAAGACGTTTAATCCGATTTTGAACGAGTGCTATTGCAATACTTTTATTGCTGCAGCAACACGCGAGTAACGCGTACAGAATGCAGTCGTAATACGAATAGAAAAAACTGTACGGTCCGATTTAAAAAAAAAAATCAAATTGACCTCGAAATATCCTTCATCGTTGTACGAACGAAAAGAAAAAATTGTTAATACCGCGTAAGATATTTTTTCACACTGAACAGCTTTTGTATAAACATATTTTCCGTAGCTTCGACACATTCCGAGAGATTTCACCGTACTCGGTTAAACGAAACACCTTGTACATCGAACAAATAACTCGGAAATCTTGACCTCTTTGCAATCCGATTAATCCGAGTAAATGAAAAAATTAGTGACCCGGCATTTCGACGGTAAACCTGGCGTTAACGCAAGAACAATTAAGAGAGGATTTGCGAACGCGTTGGACGGGGTTTCATCGCGGGACCGATCGGTTCTCGAGAAGAATTTTGCTGGGACTTGTTCTCGTCGTGACTCGCGTGCTTTTCAGTCTCGCCGCGTCGACGTCCTATTTTGCTGGTTTCGATCGGCACCGATCTTTCCGAGAGTCTACGAGAAGTGAACATTTCGCCAGAGAAAGAAAGAGAGAGAGAGTGAGAGAGAGAGAGAGAGAGAGAGAGAGAGAGAGAGAGAGAGAAACCGTTGATTTCTCCGCAGAAGCTCGGCGAGCAAAATGAAACTGTAGGTAATTGAAAGGGATGCTTTCGCACCCGGCTTGCTGCTAATAATAGATTTAATAGAGACGCGCGTGCAGATCGGGGAAGGGGTCCCGTGGCTGGCCACGCTCGGTTCGCTCGCGCCACAATTTAGTGCCCTTTGCGCTGCCTTGCCGCCGCTACCGCTGCCACTACTCCGCCGCTGTTACCTCTGTCACGCTGTGACTCGGTTTGCTTCCATTTCCCCCTCCGCCGCGCCATTCCTCTGGGCCTCATCGGCGATACGATTCGATCTTCGCGGATTCGCGCGGCTCCCGCCCCCGAACGGCCAAGCAATCGGCTCGCTTCTGCTTGTTCCTGCGCGTGGATTCACGGTAAACGAGCCATTAGGTAACTCCTAATACGCGTTGAAACTATTATAATCGCGGATCACGTTATCGGTCGGCCAGCGTTAGCGTAATTTAGCCGGTCCCAAAACCCTCTGTGCTAAAAATGTTGAAATCTAGATAGTTCCTACGT